GGATAAGACCAAGATAAAGCAGGACCTATGCAACAAGAGTTGTAGTTTTTGGGTCTGATAAGGTCAGCGAAATCCCCTCAGGATTTATCCCGAGATCCTGTACCTCAGATTGTAGACCCTTTGTCAGTGTCAGCCATGTGGATGAGTCATGGCCATTGCTTGGCCAATGTGCTCTCTGTGAAAGCCTGAGAGAATGTTTTCTCTCCACAAAATGTAAATTTAAGCCATCCATGCAGGAAGCTGATGCAGGAAGTAACTCCATGTTATTCTATATCATGCTGTGGCTTTGCATAAGTTTTGTGTAGAGAACAGTTGTTTCAGCAGGCCTCAGTCTGCTACTCTTATCAAGGCATGGCTGCAACAGTAGCTTGCATGTGGCACATTGATTTCAAAGAATTATCAGTCATTTTAAAACTGCTACAGAGGGACTCTCTGTGCACAAACTGTTTTTATATGTTATGTGATTTTTGTTAAATATCTGCTTTCCATCTGAAAATGGGGATTTTTTGATATAGTCTAGATAGAAGATGCCTATGTGAAGAGCACACAATAAAAATTCTGGATGCCTAATCTCTTATGAGCTTTCTAAGTAGACAACAGATAGTTTTCTGTCACAATTTATTGCTGAGGGAATCCAGTGAATGCTTTTAGAATATTACATTTGGTGACCTTGGACTTTTCCCGTTCCTTTTTCCTTTGATTTTGCCTTGAGTCCTCTCTGTTACATTTATCTGTGCCTGTTACTACAGGTTGAGTTCTACAAGTCCCCTTTGTGCATGAGCAAACCTCTTGCCAGTACTCAGTACACACCTAGGGAATTTCTGCTTAGACATCTTTTCCCTTTCTCCAATGGCCATGGATCTTCTCCTTGTGACAATGTGAAGATCAGTTCTGCTTTTGAAAAGCAATAGCCTATAAATAGGAAATAATTTAGAAATTGAGTTCTTTGCACAGATTCCACTGCCCCTAAATGTGAAGAAAAGTACAGCTTCCTAAGTCCCACATGGAAGCTGGCACACTTCTGTGATCTTAAAGCCCTTGGGAGTTTAGGGCAGGAAGACTGGTACAAGTTGGAAGATAGCCTGGGCTACACAGACAGCTAAGGATAGCCTGAACTACATAATAGGACCTTGTATTACAAAACAAATTAATGAGCAAGCAAACTAAAGAATACGAAGAGGAAGAAGAAGAAACGGTGCACTAAATGGATTCATTTGGGAGTTGTCAGTAACAAAAATCCATTTTTATATTCATAAATATCTTGGAATCTCTGACTGTAAGATTAAATAACATTATATTCTGAAGTGATCAGTATCTTAGATTGCAAACAAGATTTCATGAAGACTTCACATCTCACCTTAAAAGAGTACAAGAAACTGATCTCTTTGTCTTTCATTTCTCCTCGTCCTTTTAAAATCTTCTTCCAAGGGTAAAATTCAGTTTATTGAGAGGATGGTCATGGTCTACAATTTTCGGATTTGGTCTAGATTTTGTAATCTAATTATAAATCTTGTACCTATGGTTAAAGCTCACAAATGTACAGTTACCACACTTTCTCATTTTGTAGACTCTCCTTGATGCTACAGTTATGAGTGATTACACTACTTTAGCCAAAGGAACACAGTTGTTTTGCTAGATAGTTCTTCCTTGTATTCAAATATCGTGATTGTGTGGGAAGTCATAAACAATATCATGGTCCAGTACCAAAGAACCGGGTGCTAGGCCAAATAGGCAGCAACCTCTCATCCCTCAGAAACTGAAGAGGAAGGGTCTTCTAAAAGACTCAAAAGCCAAAATCCACATATACCTAGAAGACAAAAGCCACATATATGTAGAAGACATCTCAGAGAAATAGTCATTTTGAAGGAAGTCTTGATACTAGTAACAAAGCTACCTGCCATAATCAATTTATAAGCAAGATGCAACCCCAGATATTCACCTCACCCAAAGCAAACCCAGGGGGTACTGAGGCAGCAGAAATAAAAACCCTCCAGCTGTACCTTCTGAAATGGTAGCAGTGGAAGTAACAATGCAGATGAATGACATTCTAGAAAATAACATATCAGAAGTAATTTCACAGTTACCAAAAGAGATGATGACCATAATGAAGGATGTGCTTAATGCATCTAGGGTAGGTACAGCAAAAAAAAATGAAAAAGGAAAGTTATGGAGACTATGAAGGTCTAACAAAGGAAAAAAAACTAGGTTCCACAAGACAAATATCAATAGATATCCAGGAGATTAAAAATTTTATTCAAAATATATGCATCAGAATCAACAAATGTGTGGTCAGAATACCAGGCTTAGAAGATAGGTTGTGGTTAGCAATTATCAAATGAAAGAATTTTAAAAATAGAAAAGAACAATGAAAAATCAATCCAAGAGTTGCTAGATGATACAAAGAAAAATGACATGATTGATTGAGATCAATGAAAACTCAGAAGACACTACCAAGGACATAAAAAAACTTGTTCACAGAAGTAATGGCAGAAAACTCTAATAACATTAATAAGAAAAACACTATATAAGGCATGTAACAGTCAAGATTCCAAAAATTCAATACAGGAGTAGATTATTAAAAGCAGTTAGGGGCCAGGGAGATGGCTCAGTAGAGTAAGTGCTTCCCTGGCAAGCATAAGGGTCTGAGTTCAATCCCCGGTTCTGCCAGAGAGAGAGAGAGAGAGAGAGAGAGAGAGAGAGAGAGAGAGAGAGAGAAAACAAATAAAAATCCTATAAAGGAAAACTCATCAAAATCACACCAGAGTATCCTTTACTCAAGGAAAGTTTGAAGTACTTCAAGTCCTAAAAGAAAAAAACTCCAGCTGAGACTGTTATACCTTACAAAATTATGTTTCAAAATTGGACAATTAAGACACTCTCATGATAAAAAATACCTGAAAAAATTCATGACTGCCAAACCGTCACTCCAAAAAATTCTGAAGGATATTCTAGAAAAAAGACAATAATGACAAGATCCTAGGAATCTGAATGGAATGAATCCACCTGGCAAAGTAAGCAATTACACAGGGGGAAAAAAGGGACCCAACAACAGGAAAGTAATACCACAAGGGTAAGTCAATACATTTCAGTGATAACCATCAATGTAAATGGTCTCAATTCACCAATGAAAAGAAACTGGCAAACTAACTAGGAGAGAGTTTTGAGTATTTCACTATGACAGATATGCTAATCACCCTGATATGAGCATCACAAATTTGTATATTCTGTATGTGAAATATCAGTGTTCCATAACTTTGTAAAGATTTTTAAAGTGTATACAAAATAAACATTGAAGATATTCCCTCTTAAAACAGAAGCCTAATATGGACAGAAAAAAAAGGTGCAAAATACACATTTCATAAGATCGAACATCAGCCCAGCAATATAAAACCCAAAAAACAAAAATGACCTAAAGATATGGTCAGATCTTCCATAGGAGTTGCATCTTTGTACTAGACACTGAATCTGGGAGTTTCACACTGAGGTATATCCCTAGTCCTTTGCCATTGTATTTATTTTTGTGTATTGACACACGGTCTCACAAAGTCATTAAGTTGCCCCAGTGGGCTTTAGCATGCAATTGTATTTATTATACTGCTAGTGTGCTAGGATTATAGGTATGTACCACCCACCATACCTGGCCATTACAGATTGATTAATAGATTTTAAAAAATACATTAAAAGTGATATAACACTGTCTGTAAAGCAATGCAAACACATTAAAACTGAACAGAAAACAGGCAAAATGTTTACAAACAATAACTTATTGAATGTTAGTGACCAAAGAGAAATAAGAATTCGCATTGCTTATGAGCAAGAAAAGAAGCACAGTCAGTCTGAAAAAGATTTGCTGGCTTCTTGTTCCACACATAAAGTTAGCAGAAGACCTGGCAAGTCTAGGTAATTACATTTAAAAAATGAAAATAGATGTTAACACAAGATTTATGTGTGAAGATGTCTAAGTTTATTTTTGATAGCCTCAAACAGTTAAAAGGCACATTGATCAACTAATAAAGGTTAAGAGGTTGTAGTCAAATGCATACAGATGATTAATCGACATAAAACTATAAACTACTTTATATAAACTCATTTATATAAATGAGTCTCAAAGTGGCATTCTAAATGACAGACACAGACAAAAAGAGTATATAGTTTATAATTCAATTTATGTGAAATTAAGCAAATGTAAAATTACTGGAATAGAAAGGACATCAGTGGGTGGCAGGAGTCAAGGGGACACAGAAAGGACTCACTGGAAAACTGGAAAAGCTTCAAAGAATATTCAGGGGCAACAGAAACATTCCAAATTTTGATTTTGATGGCTGTAATCAAGGCTATCTACTTCCTAAAACTCACTGACCTGTACACTGAAAGGTGTTCAATTTTAATTTCAGTTAAACACCTCAACAAAAGTGACCAGTATTAAAACAAGTTAAAAAAAAAATGTACTGTGCTCAGGTCTGCTCACCCACGGAGACAAGGTGGCTGTAGATCTCCAGCATCACATCTCTGTACAGGGTCCTCTGGGCGGGCCCATGTGCCGCCACTCCTCCTGGCTGAGCATGACAGTCACGTCCTCCAAAGCCACTGACACCTGGAACACACATTTCTCATCAATCTGATAGTTCAGAATGACAGGCAAGAAAGTATTTTGGGAAGCTGATTACATGAGAAGCACAACTCAGAGAAATATGATTTTCATACTCTGATTCACTTATTTTTATATTATACACATGTATTATCACTTAACGTTCTGAAGTAGCTTAATGCCTTCCTTTATGAAGTAGAATTATTTCCAACAGGATTCCTGTATATGTTTTCCATACACCACTTTACAGACTAAGCAGTCTGCAAAGCCTACACCCCAACCTAGAGATCACTGCTGGCTTAACAGAGAATAATTATTTTATAGAAGTAAAGTGGGAAAGGCCCAACACAAAAGCAAAATCCAGGAATCATAACGGAAGGAAGACACTGCTAAAATTTGGCAACACAAAAAAGCAATGTCTTTATGGCAAAATCTAAGAAGAAAAAAACCCTAGAAAATGGTACAATGTATTTAACAGAAAAAAGCTATAAAAATGTATTGGATAGGATATTTGAAATATCTATATATTAATATAAGGGGTGTGAGATAAACTGTTCAATAAAAATGAAATAGAAACAAACACACATGCATACACACAAGCATGCATGCACACCCATACACACACACACACACACACACACACACACACACCAATTCCAGTTAATTAGGAGGCTGAAGCAGGAGGACCACAACTTTAAAGCCAGCCTGGACAAACCTATCAAACCTCTCTCTCTAAATGAAAATATAAAGGGCTGGGGTTGTAGCTCATTGGTACAGCATCCCTGGGTTCAATCCCAGTACCGCAAAGGAAAGAAAAAGAGTAATTCTTTTAAGAGTTATTCTTAAAACTATCCTTTGTCATAAATCCTAAGCCCCACAGATGGCCCAACCAAACAGATACAGTGTGTTCATGAATCGTAAGACTGAGTATGATCAAGATGTTCATTCTTCCAAATTCATCTGACCTCTAGAGTAGACTCAACAGATTCAGGACAGTCAAAATCAAAATCTCAGTGAGATTTTTCAAGATATATAAACTGATTTTTAAAAATTTCCTTATAAAGAAGCAAACTATTTTTATAATACCTAAAAGAATTTTTTAAAAGAAGAGCAAAGTTGAAAGACTCAAGCTACCAGATTTCAAGATTTTTGTGAAATTAGAAATCATCAGCAATGAATGGAATCCCAAACACACATACACAGTTAATTAATGCTCCACAGTAGTAATTCATGGAAAAATTACATTGCTTTCTAGAAATGGTGCTGACAGATGGGTGTTTAAGGCAGAGAGCACAAAAATGGCAAGGGTATATTAATCGATTCCCAATACTTAGAGAACACCACCAGCAGTAACTGAGGTCTTCAGACTCTAACACTCTAGAGTGAACTGGACCATATTTGGTCTTTTTCCGATCAGAGAATTTTTTTTTTTTTTTTTTTTTTTTTTTTCAGAACCAGGGATTGAACTCAGGCCATTGGTGCTTGCCAGGGAAGTGCTTATTCTACTGAGCCATCTCCCCGGGCCACAGATCTGAGA